CAGCTACTTCAGAAGCTGAAGCAAGAAGATTTCTTGAGCTCAGAAGTTCAAGCCAGCCTAGGCATCATAATGAGACCTACTCTCTATTTTTAAAAAAAAATCCAGCAGGCAAGACGGCTTAAGGAAAAGTGCTCATTTCACATGTCCATCAACGTGGATTCAGTCTTAAGAACCTTCTATGGAAGAAGAGAACCAACTCCTGAAAGTTATCCTCTGACCTCCAAACATGTACAGTGGCACATGGGCCCCTGACTATCATACCTGCATCATACACTTGCATGTGAGCACACACAAAGTAATTTTTCTAAGCCAACCAGCTACATAGGCTTAGTAAGTGTTTCGTTCTCTCTCTCTCTCTCTCTCTCTCTCTCTCTCTCTCTCTCTCTGTCTTTGTTTTGTTTGCTTGTTAAAACAGACTCTCCCCCATGTATTGAAGGCTGGCCTGGAACTTGCAATGCTCCTACTTTAGTCTCCATAGTGATGTGTTTCCAGGCATGTGGCATCAGGCCTAGCTGTCATGGGCCTTCTGAACCACAAACATCAGCACTAACTATTGCAGTACACTGGAGGCAAAAAACATTGGTGAGGGTTTTGCATATGGTGCTTGTCTTGGTGTATAGAGTAGATGTTGTCTTTGATGTAGTAACTGCCCAATGGATTCAAGGTCCTGGGTTCAATTCCCCAGCACAAGAAAAAAGATTGTTGAAGAGAAATGGACCTGAGAAAGATCATGGAAAAATCAGCAAGGTAAAGTGCAATGGGTTCTGTCTTGTTCAGCATTCTATTGCTGTGAAGAGACATTATGACCAAGGCAACTCTTATAAAGAAAAGTATTTAATTGAGGGTTAGTCCATTATCATTATGGAGGGGAGCATGGCAGCAAGCAGGCAGACATGGTGCTGTAGAAATAGCCAAGAGCTACATATCCTGATCCACTGAAGTAGAGACACTGGGCTTCATGTGGGTTTTTAAAACCTCAAAGCCCATCCCCAGTGACATACTTCCTCCAACAAGGCCACACCTCCTAATCCTTTCAGATAGTGCAAGATGAGCAAGTATTCAAATCTCTGACCCTCAACCACCACAGTTTCCTTGTGATAGTTACAGCAATGCAAGTGTGCATATAAAAAAACTGCTTTCAACCTTGCATAAAATCTCTAGGAAACAATCCTATACACATATGTGGCATCAGTGCAGACAGAGTAACAGGCTTGTCAAATGGGGAAGCTGAAAAAAGCACTCTACTTGACAGCCCCACATCCTCCATGCCTACCCAGCAGCAACAAATGGTACCAGGAAAATAATATCCATCCTGCCACCAAAAGAGATTGTTTCAGGGACCAAGTAGCACCATACAAATGAAGCAAACCAGGAGGACATTGCATAGACTCTGAAAGCCAAGTTGTCATAATTACAGACCCCCAAATACCAGGACATATCCAGTGAGATAACTTAAACAATGGTCTGGTAACACCTAAGATTAAATAGGATCCATGTCCTAACACAATAGATCCAACGTCCAGGATACAACAGTGAAGAAATAAAAATCCAGGTGTCACAACAAACCTGGAATAATCACACTATAAATAAAAATGGAAGAAAAGCAGGATTCACTAATCAATTAAAAGAAAAAAACCAAGGTCCATCAGATGCTAGAGCTATGTGAGGAAGTTTTTAAAGTATAATAATAAAAGCGATTCAATAAAGAATTACAGATAAGTGTTGAGATAAGTTCAGTGGTTAAGAGTACTCACTGCTCTTCCGAAGGTCCTGAGTTCAATTTTCAGTGCCCACATGGCAGCTTACAACTGTCTGATGCCTTCTTCTGGCATGTAGATGTACATGCAGACAAAATACCCATATACATAAAATTTATGAATAAATGAAATTTTAAAAAAGAATTACAAATAAATGTGAAATAAATGAAGAAATGGAAACCCACACCAGGAGGTACAAAACAGAAGCAAACAGAAATGACACAACTGGAAAAAAGTACATGAAACTTAAAATTCAGTCCCAGCACTTCAGAGGCCAAGGCAGAGACTGGGCAGCCTGGGCTACAGTATGGGATCCTGTTTCAAAACAAAACTTAAAAACAAACAAAACATCTCACGTGACCTGTTCAGTAACAGAATAAATAGGACATAAGATGAGTGAGCTTGAAGATAGAGCAGGAGGAATTACTAGTCTGAATGATGGAAGCAAATACACACATGTGCAATCACGAAGATTGGAACAACCCTGGCATCCCACACATACCTGCATGAACTAAACAAAACAGCTTTAAAAATATGAAGCTGGGCTAAGGGTATAGCTTGGTTGGTGGAGTGCTTGTCTTGCATGCTAAAAATCCCCAGAACCTCATAAATTAGCTGTGATGGTACATCACAGGATGTGGTGGCAGCAGGAAGATTGTATCAAAAATTGAAGTCATACTGAGCAACATACTGAGGCCAGCAAGGAAGCATTGTTCCTCTTTAAAGAAAGAGAAAGAGAAGAGGGAAAGAAAGGGAAGGGAGAGAAGGAGAGGACAGGACAGGAGACTAGACAAGACTGACCAGACAAGATGAGATGATGAGATAAGACAAGGTTTAAACTTGGAGGCTAAGATAAGAGGATCCCTTGAGGGTAGACATGAAGCCAGTTTAGGCAATTTCTCAAACAAAAAAATAGGAAGTTAGCTCCCCTGGTTCAGGTCTATAATCCCAGCTACCCAGTGGTCTAAGACTGGAGGATCACAAGTTCAAGGCCAGCCTGTTCTACACAGAGAATTCTAGTCAGCCTAGACAACTTAGTAAGGCCCTGTCTCAAATTTTAAAAGTACAGAAGAGGCTAAGAAAGTAGATCAGTGAGTGGGTAGAGCAATTCCCTAGTATATATAAGACCCTGTGTTCAGTCTCCAGTACCACAGAAGTAAGTAAATAAATAATAACAATCATGAATCAAAATCTGATTAAAATTTAGTTTCTGGTTTAGAGATTACTTGAAGAACAGCAATGCTGATTAAATAAATATATTGAACTGTATGAATTATAATTTATTTATTTTGTGTGAGTACAAGAGGAACATATCTGCAGAGAGAGGTTAGAGAGGCTCTTACAGAAGTCACTTCTTGCTTCCTGCTGGCTTCTTGAGCCTCCTTATTCCCCAGGGAAAGGTGAGTGTGCTATCCACCCACCCTGCAGCCCCATGACACAGGACAATCAGATCCACAGCCTCACGATGCAGGACAATCAGATGCGATAGGGAGCCAAATAAAAACGAACTCAGCTTATTACTGTGAGCATCAGCTTATATAGCTTAAGTGACATGGTGTGATGTGGGGGTGCCTCCATCCAATTAGAGGCAGCTAAACCCTCCCTCTGGCTGGAGGGACATCTACCTAATTTTTGCTGTCTCATCCTCACTCAAACTTGAGCCAGGCTTTTCTCTGTCCTATAGGCCTCGAGGTACAGGCCCTGAGATAATTCTGGCCTAATAGCTTCCCACCATGTAAGATTAAACTCAGGTTGTTGACTTTATCAGTAAGTGTCTCTACCTACTGAGCCATCTTGCCAGTCCAATAAAATAATATTAATGTAGGGTTCATCAGAGGGTTTATCCAATCTAGGAAATTATCAGACGTCAATTGCAAATCCTATAACACTGTATACTGGCCATGTTGTTGCCTCTTTTTTTTTTCCTCTTTGTGGCCCTGGCTGTCCTGGAACTAGCTGTGTAGACCAGGCTGACCTCGAATTTCACTAGCCTTCCAGAGTGCTGAGATTAAAGGCATGCCACCACACCCCACTATGTTGTTGCCTCTTTTTGTAAAATTTAAATTTTTCAATTACCAAGGTTGGCCTCAAACTTGATGATGACTTTGAACTCCTGATTTTTCCTTCCTCTACCTTCCAATGCTGGGATTACAGGCTTACACTAAAAATTGAGCTATCATTTTAAAAATTAAGTTAAGTTATTGAGACTACTTCTTTGAAAACATCACAGAAATCCAGGCTTCTACTTATTTATTTGGAAATATATCCTGTCTAATAGTACATATGGAGCTCTCTATACTAAGGATTGTCTACACCCATTTTGGCAAAACAAGCTTGATTCAAAATGCATACTTTTGCTAATGTAACATCAAAACCAGCACTTTCAGGGATCACAAGAACCAAGAGCCAGGTGGTGGTGGTACATGCCTTTAATCCTAGCAATAGAGAGGCAGAGAGAGGCATATCTCTGAGTACAAAGCCAGCCTGGTCTACAGAGCTAGTTCCATAACAGAAAAGGCTACACAGAGAAACCCTGTCTCAAAACAAAAGAAAAAAGCAAAAGAACCAGGAAACATGAAGCAGTCTTCCAAAATAATAGCCCTCAGGATCTAGGGAGCAGGTAGAACAGTGTGTTCATCCACCTGCCTGTGGGATATGCTGTGGAAGACACATAGAGAACACTTTCTGCCTTGTTACTGAAATTGTGTCTGTCTCTTTGGTGTTGTGGTCAAGTTTTGAAGTAGAAAATTGTTCATTTTGGTTTTGGGCACAGGTTCCTGCTATGTATCCCAGGCTAGTCTCAAATTCAAGCTCCTTTCCTCAGTTTCCTGAGTGCTATAAGTCAACACCATGTCCATGTGCTGAAAGCCACTTTGAGTCAACAAGTTGTTTGAGAGCTGAGATGGCTCTGCAGATGAAGTGCTCAATGCCAAAGCTGATGGCTTGAGTTCAATCTCCAACATCCTGTCTTAGGGTTTCTATTGCTGTGAAGAGACATCATGACCACAGAAACGCTTTTTTAATTGTTTTTATTGAGCTACACTTTTTTTCTTCGCTCCCCTCTCTTCCTCCCCTCTACCCTCCCCCATGACCCCCACACTCCAAATTTACTCAGGAGATCTTGTCCTTTGGGGCTTGCTTACAATTTCAGAGGTTTAGTCCATTATTATCATGGTGGGGAGCATGGCAGCATGCAGGCAGACATGGTGCTGGAGAAATAGCTGAGAGTCCTATATTTTGCAGGCAAGCGTCAACATAAGTCCACATAAAGAAAAGAAGGAGGAAGAGCACCATGGCCCCAGAAAAGTCTTCATTGTCTCAGACTGGAAACCAAGTCTCACTGAGGAAACAAAGTTTTCGAGACAAATTCTCACTCTGCAGCTCAGGCTGGCCTGGAACTCAATATGTAGTCTCAGTCAGCCTCCTGAGTGTTGATATTATAAGGATGAACCACACTGCCTACTTAGTTTTGAGGTTTTAAGAGTTATTTATTATTTTTATTTTATGTGTATGAGTGTTTGCCTGAATGTATGTAAGTGCACCATGTGCATGCAGTGTCCTTAGAAGCAAGAAGAGGGCTTTGGATTCCCTGAAACTGAAATTGCAGCTGTTTAAGAACTGTACCAGTACTGCACCTAGATCCTCTGCAAGGTCATCAAGTGTTTGAGCTTGATCCTGGGACCCACATGGTAGAAGGAGAGAACCAACTCTTACAAGTTGTCCTCTGATCTCCACACATAAGTAAATAAGCTTGGAGGTTGTGGCACACACCTTTAATCCTAGCACTTGGGAGGCAGAGGCAGACTGATCTCTGAGTTTGAGGCCATCCTGGTTTAAACACAAAAAACAGCAACTAACCATACATGCATTGTAAATTATAATTCCAGCACTTGAGGAGTGGAAGGTAGAGGATTAGAAGTTCAGGGTCAGCATAGACTACATGAGACTCAGTCTCAATTTTAAAATAAAGAGAGAGAGAAAGGAATGTGTGTGTGTGTGTGTGTGTGTGTGTGTGTGTGTGTGTGTTTTGTTGAGATGGTTTTCAGTGAATAAATCTACAGAGACATCAGTACCAATTTGATGTGGGAGAATTGTCTGTATTCTGGTCAATCATATTTTAATAAAACGCTGATTGGCCAGGCAGGCAGTATAGGCGGGAAAACCAGACAGGAAGTAGAGGTGATGCAATGAGAACAGGAGAATTCTGGGAAGCAGGGAGGTTCCTCAGCCATTCCTGTGCAGACCACCAAAGAGACAGCATGTAACCTGCCCAGCTGAAAAAGGTACGGAGCCATTATGGCTAACATAGATGAGAATAATGGGTTAATATAAGTTATAAGAGTTAACAAGAAGCCTGACCTAATGAGCCAATCAGTTTATAACCTTATGGAGTCCTGTGTGTGATTTTTCTTTGTTGCTTGCCGGCTGTTGGGGTACCAGGAGGGACGGAAACCCCAACAAGCCGGCCCTCATGTTACACCAATTTGGTAACATCTGTTCCAAGTAATAAAAAAGTGAATATTTCCATTTGTTCTTTTAGGGAGTGGTTTATTTATTTTATGTGAATGACTGTTTTGTCTATATGGATGTCACCATGTGCATTCCTAGTGCTGATAGAGGCCAGAAGAGGGTGTCAGAGACCCTGAAATTGGAGGTGGTTGTGAGCCATCATTCTGGTACTGTGAACCAAATCTGGGCCCTCTGGAAGAATAGTAAGTGTTTTTAACCTTAACTTAGAACCATCTACACACACACACACACACACACACACACACACACACACACACACACCTTTTGTTGACAAGGTTTATACTATTCAGTCTAGGCTGTCCTTGAATTTATGATCCTCCTACTTCCTTCTCTTCAGTGCTGGGATTATAGACTTATGCCACTATACCATGCTGTCAATTCATTTTGTGAGGTTAATGTTATTTTGCTACAAAAAAAACATTTTAAAACAAACATCAAGGGGCTGGAGAGATGATTCAGTGATTAAGAACATGCATTGTTCTTGCAAAGGACCCAAGTTCATTTCCCAGCACCCATATCAGAAGTTCACAATTATTTGTAACTCCAGCTCTAAGATGCTGTGGGGCAATGGCCTTATATTGTTTTAATAAAATGCTGATTGGCCAGTAGCCAGGCAGGAAGGATAGGTGGAGTGACCAGGCAGGAAGTAGAGGTGGGGCAACAAGAACAGGAGAATTCTGGGAAGAGGAAAGGGTCAGTCTGCAGTCACAATGCAGACTCAGAGGAAGCAAGATGAGACTGCCTCACTGATAAAAGCCACGTGGCTAACAAGAGAAGAATTATGGGTTAATATAAATTATAAGAGTTAATAAGAAGCCTGAGCTAATAGGCCAACCAGTTTATAATTAATATATACCTCTGAGTGTTTCTTTGGGACTAAACAGCTGCAGGGCCAGGCAGGACAGAAACCTCAGTCAACACCAGGAGATGCCTCTAACCTCAGGTATACACACACACACACACACACAAATAATAATGATGATGATGGTGATGATGAAGATGTTTTTTAGAACAGTACATACAGGGAGAAAGACAACTAACTATACACAGACATCTCCTATCAACAGGCAGGCAGGCAGGGAGGCAAATCAAATCAAGTAATGTTTAAAATAATTTGACCACATAAGCAAATAGGATTTGTTCTAGGTATGAAAGACTGGCTATTTTCTCAAAAACAATCAATGTAATATGGTACAGCAACAGGTAGAGGAAGAAAAATCATATAATCAGATCAGTTGATGCAAAGAATCACATAAACCAAATCAGCATTGACAAACTCTGGCACCCCACAATGAGGTTGCCAGAGAAGATGGGGTGGGCATATTCCTGCCTATTTCTCCCATTCAGTTCAACTAAAACCCTGTGTGACACGGGAAAAGCCAATGGGATAACTTGCTTCCTGTGTTTCCTTTTGCCTAATGTATCCACTACTAGCTGCTGAAGAAACAAGCAACCTTCAAACATTAAGCCAAAAAAAAAGCCCTCCCTCCAAGGAAAACAAAACAAAACAAAAAAACACCAAGAAAACATTGCCATTCATCTAGGGGACCAGATCAAGTTCAGCCTAGTAAAGCATGTGAAGGTCTGAACTGGCATACGGGAAGAGGCAAAGGGGCTTTGCAATAGACCTCCAGAAGCGATTTCTAACCATGAATAATCTTCTGTCTAAAGGAGAAAATGTATCTGATTATTTTCATTTGATTAAGAGCTACCTGAAAGGGATGTTAGGGTCTCTCCCTAACATCCTAGGGTCTATCCTAGCATGTTGGCACATACTTAAAGACCCAGCTGTTCAGGCAGCTTAGACTGAAAGACCATTTAAGCCATGGAATTCAAGACCAGTGTGAACAACACAGCAAAAACTCATGCCAAAAATTCAGTTGTTAACTGAGGATGTACCTCAGCCAGTGAAGCGCTTACCTAGCATGCTGAAGCCCTGGGTTTGATCCCAAGCACTGCATACAACCAGACACGTTGGCCTATGCCTGTAACCCAGCACTCAAGAGCTGACATCAAGAGAATCAGAAGTTCAAGGTCATCCTTGGCTATACAATAATCCTGTCATACATGAGACTGTCTCAAAAAATCCCAATTGCTACAGATTATGCAAGAAAACAAACATTAGCCCATTTTATACCTCTTACCTAAAACTAACCAACCATATCAAATTTAAAATTTGAAAATTTTTAAATATTTTAACAGGCAAAGACAATTAACTGTCATTTTTAGTCATTTAGTAATAATAGATAATTTGCCTTTAAGAAGGAATCTTCAAGGTCTAGCAAAGTAGAGCATGTCTGTAAACACACATTTAGAAGATTGAGGCAGAAGGATCTCAACTTAGAGAGAAGCCTGGGTTATTTAGCAAGACCTTGTTGGTGGAAAGAAGGAAGTGGGAGTGGGGGAAGGAGGGAAGAAGGAAAAAAGGAGGAGATGGGTGCCCTGAACATATCTGCTTTGAGTTGTTATGCTCTTTTAATGTAGCATCCAGCAAGCTAAACTGGAGCCAAATATTAAGTAGTCTGTTTTTTTAAAATAAAGTTTCATTAGACACAAAAAAACAATAAGGTTTCTACATAATAACAATCAAAATTTCAACTACAATCCCATACACAGTTGCCCTGAGGAAGATTAGAAGCCTCTAATCACTCACAGTTCTTGGGAGGCAATTAGAAAGACTTAATAGTCAGAGACTATTCTGGGCTATAGAGGGAAATTGTCTCAAAAGAAAGAAGGGGAGTACTGAGGGTCACACCCAGGACCTTGCCTACAGCAGATAAGCACTCTATCACTGAACTACACCTCCAGTCCTAACACTTCAAAAACTGTAGCACAGTTAATTAAAAAAACCAGAGACAAAAATTGGGGTTCAATCTGATGGTCAGAAAAGCAAAACAGCCTGCCACTGGCTCTTACCTCTACCTCAGTCTGAAATGGCGATCCTGCCTCCAGGAATCTCGGAATGAGACTGTGACTGAGAGCTGTCTCCTCCCATATTATAATCCTCTCTAGGGCTGGGATTAAGGGCATGTACCACTACTGCCTGGTTTGTGACTGCTGGTATTAAAGTTGTGTGTTACCACTGCCTGGTCTGTAAGGCTGATCAGTGCAGCTGTTTTACTCTCTGATCTTCAGGCAAGCTTTATTTATTAAAATACAAATGAAATATCACTCTATGTCTCCCCTTTTGTCTGAAATAAAAAGGAAAAAGGGTTAGGCTATAGCTAATATAAGAAAGACTATACACAAAAAGTACAATGACTATATGTAATATATTCAGGAAATAAGTACATCAGCAATGTCTAGTCCATTTGCATTTGACAAATTTAGAGAAAATACTCCATTTCTATCCTACCTTGGTGAGTCCAAAGTCTTATACCTAATTTACTTTTGATCATAAATTGCTTTCTGCATCTGGTAAACAAGGAAAACTATACCTATAACTCTCTAGTCTTCAACTCCCTCAGAGACCCAAGAAGGAAATAATATTAACTGAGCAAGCAGGAAGTACAAACAAGTGACTTCCAAAAACTGTAAGAAATGACTGAAAGAGTTGTCTGCCTGGACAGTCACCTCTGTAACATTGGGGCTTCCATCTCTGTGTATTATAAGCTTCTGTGTGTTGTAAATGGGAACGGAGGGCCACTTCCAGCAGCCCAGGCTAGCTTTACCCGAAATAATTACATGGAAACTGTATTCATTTAAACACTGCCTGGCCCATTAGTTCTAGCCTCTTATTGGCTAATTCTCACATCTTGATTAACCCATTTCTAATAATCTGTGTAGCACCATGAAGTGGTGGCTTACCGGGAAAGATCCTAACCTACATCCGTCTCGGGTCGGAGAATCATGGCATCTGTCTCATTGCCTTCTTCCCAGCATTCTGTTCTGTCTACTCTGTCCACCTAATTTTCTGCCCTATTAAAAGGCCAAGGCAGTCTCTTTATTTAACCAATGAAAGCAACAGAAATACAGAAGACCCACCTACATCATCTGTGTGTTTCTTTGAAACTGAACAGCTGCGGGACTGGGCAGGATAGAAACTTCTGTCTACAAAAAAACCTTTATTTTAGTTTATTTTTTGAGTTATGGTCTCACCATGTAATGTATCTCTGACTGATTTGGAAATTCCTATGTAGACCACACTGGTCTTGAACTCACAGAGATTCACCCTACCTCTTGCCTCCTGAGTGATGGAATTACAGTCACTTCAAAACTTTTAAAGGAAGCCAAGCATAGCAGTGCATGACTGAGGCTGATATAGGATTACCAAGAGTTCCAGGCAAGCAGCCAGGACTACAAAGCTAGACCCTGGCTCAACACACACACACATCCCAAAGGGAAGGGAAGTTACAGATGGTGTCAGCTGGAGCCTGAGCAACCTCGTACAGTACCCAAGATGATGACCAAGAACAAATAATAAGGGCAGAAGTCCAAGAATGTGTTTCACATATCCAGCCAACCAAAATCCTTCAAGGCTAAAAAACAAGGCAAAAGCAGATATCACTAATATTAAAAAGATAAACATTGTGAATGACAAAGATAACAGCATGGACAGCACTATTGTAAACATCCAGAAATGTACACCCTTCCCCAAGACTCCTCCCCCACCTCCACCCTTCCTTGC